CAACCCTTGTGAGGATAAAGTGGATCGAAAAATGAATGAATGAATGAATGAATGAATGAATGTTTTGTTTTGAGGGGGCGGCCGGTTGGCTGTAAATATTACGACTACAAAAGGAAGATGGTCGACAAATAAAGTAACATCAACACAGAGGTGCCCGATTTTGAAACCAAGCAAAATGAAGGCATATCAGAAAGCGTTCGTTTATATGAGCAAAAGGGAGCGGGTCGGAGGCGTTAGCAAACTAAGCGGCTGCGTGTGGCTCCCTCGCCACGAGGGGGCGTAAGAATTTTCCTTTTCGCGTAAAACATATTAAAAAAAAAAAGCGACACAAACGTCACGATATCCTTTATATAAGTAGAACTCTCGTCAAGCAGCGCTGACTGAGGTGCCTCTTTATGTAAAACCATACCAAAGATGACAATTGCACCGTTCTTCTTACAATTCCAATTCAAAACAACACAATATGCATCTTCTGTTTCCAAAGACAGCTTTTATTTCAATGAAAAAAAAAAGCCAACGTCCATTATGGCCTTAAAAACCTTGAGTAAAGTTGTGAAAGTATGAATGCTGTGTTTTTTTATGTGCTGACGAATATGATAAATGATGTGACATCATCAATCTTAATGACCAATCCAATCTAGAGCACAAGGGCACCACAGTTGTACGGCGGGAGAGAGCTTTTATTTTAATATGACTGTTAAAAGGCTTTGCTTGCAAATACACCACCCACCCGAAAAAAACTCTTACTTTATGTGAAAAAGAATGACTTCATTCACAGCCAGCGCCACATTTACACAAATTGAAAATCCCCAAAGTTAGCTGTCAACGCTAAATTCGACTCCGTTTCAATTGGTGTGTTGATTGTGTCAATCTACTCAATACTCTTCTCCCATTGGTCAAACGACACGAAGCCCCGCCTTATAATACCTGTCGATTTTTAACAGGCCGCGACGGCTTCCGGTAACCCCGCCCATCGCATCTCGTCTTCCTCTTTCCACCGGTGCTCTCGTGTGGAGAGTCGTGTGGATTCACTGTTGCGGTTTCGGTGCGTCGCAGGCGTGTGCATCACGCAATGTAACGGCCACCAGTCACAATCTCATTTTGAAAAACATTGATAAAGTCCTAGGTAGGCGGCGGCCAACGAGGAAACCAAGGGAACGTAGAACAGCGCGGAGCGGAGGGAGATTCGGTAGTTTTTGCTGGAGGGGACTCTAGCAAACCGACCGACACCACGCGCAGAAATGGCGGAACACCACGCAGTCAGCGACGGCAAGCACAAAGCGTCCGCTAATGCCGGCAGCTCGGTACACGGGAATAGCCGAGCCGGCGCCGCGGGTGCAGCGGGCGGCAGAGGAGGCCTGTCGGGCGGACTGACACAGCCGGCGGGGTGGCAGTCGTTACTCTCGTTTAGCATTCTCTTTCTGGCCTGCCTCGCAGGATTCAGCTCCAGACTTTTCGCCGTGATTCGGTTCGAGAGCATCATCCACGAGTTCGACCCGTGGTAAGTCCAAGCTAATCAACACATTGTATTGGTTATTGTTATTATTAGTTTAAAACACGCACACAGTTCCTTGTTACATTAATGTCCTGTTTGAATGGTTGAGAGTGATGTATCATTATTATGCCCAAAGGAAGCATTTCCCTCAGATCTTCGGGGGAGGGGGGGGGGGCGTTCGATATTCATGTCAAGGTCTGGCCGTTTGGTTTGTCCGAGGAGCGTTGACATTTAAACATGATGCTTGGAGTCTTATGCAGCTAGCCGAGCTAGTTTGACTACTTGTGTCGTGCTGAATTGGCAGTCTTCTTCACGCGTTGAGTCCCACCAGGACTGCATTTTACTCAAATGGGAGTTATAGATCACCTTGAGAAATGAACGAGTGTTTGTTTTCTACCTTTCGAGAGTTTCAGTCCAATCGAAAAGCGTATGACGCTGCACAATGTGGCGAGAATTCGCGACAGCCGCGACTACTCTGATTGATAATTGCTGTCGTGCCGCAGGGATGCACTCTTATCGTAAAATTTAATTTGTTAGTAATTATACCGTGGAATGATAAACGCATCTGGGGATACAGCGGTTTCGTTGACATTTTCGCTGGTGCTAGTCACCATTGCGGGCGGTTTGTAACCCGGAAGCAGATGGCCTATTGTGTGACCTGTCATCACAACGCAGTATTCAGTCCACTTTGGTCACGTGGGTCGTGCGTAGAACCGACTTCCTCTATGCGGTCGCAAATTTAAAATTGACGTCGCAGAAAATGCACAAATATAAGCTTACTGGTTTTGGTCTGTAACATGCCAGAAAACAGTTTGGTCTTATTGTACTTCCTTGTGTGTTTGAGTGCCCAAGAAGTGAATCCACTGGACAATTGTCGACAGGTGAGTCGTGACTTTTGAAATGCAGGCAACGTTTTAACTATTTATACTGTCGAGAAGGCATTGTCAGGGTGTAGCTACCCTAAATGGGCCTTTGGCAAAGTTAGGAAAATTAAAACAAACAGAGAGGAAACCAACCAACAGAGAGAAAAGAAGAGAAGGGGTGTCTGTGTACCTTATATTGCCGGCCTCTCAGAGAAAATACAAAGAATATTTCTACAACATGATATTCCTGTTTATTTTAAACCGATAAACACATTGAGACAAAAACTAGTACACCCCAAAGACCGGGTTCCTAACACCCAAAAATGCAATCTGATTTATTCCATCCGTTGCCAAGAAAGTGAGTGCAAGGAACATTACATTGGAGAAACCAAACAAACACTCAAGAAAAGACTTTATCAACACAAATGGAAAAACAATGATAACAAAAGTGCAGTATACGCACACTTAAAAGAAACAAACCACACAATTGAAGATGAACAAGTAAAAATCCTAGGAACAGAAAAGAGATGGTTTGAAAGGGGAGTAAAGGAAGCGATTTTTGTTAAAAAATTTTCACCCTCTCTGAACCGTGAAGGAGGTATCAGATTTAACCTGTCTCCTATTTACAATAACTTGTTGACCAGTAAGGGACATAGACATGCTGATCAGGCTAACTGAAAGTAGCTATTCAGCCTTAGCCCAAACAATAGGCCTAATCAAGACCCAATGATAGGGAATTTAGAAACCAATGGGCCTCTAATAAACCAATAGGGG